CGAGCTAACTCCCTATGCACAGACTAGGAAAGAAAGAGCCCCGCGACTGGGTGTGTGTGAGTGAGTGTTTGGCCTGATAGGAAACCCAGCCAGGTAGTTCAGTCCCTGGGCTCTGATCTCGGGCCTTGTGAAGCCTCCTAACCCATTTACATAAAGAGAGCTGGAGAGTACCCTCTCTCCTCCTCCCAGCCCAGCTGAGCAGGGGTGAGCTGATGCCCAGAGGAGCTGCCCTGGGAGGCTCAGGCTGCGGGGTCCTTACCAAGAGCCCCAGGACCTCCTGCAGCTCTCAGGGACACAGGCACAGTACCCTCCCCCTGGAATGTCATAGGCAAGCTCCCCAGCATCTCAGCAAACAGCCTCCAACTGAGTCCAAGCAAACCAGACTGATGGGGTGATAGGCTTAGGGCCCTTCGTTGCCATTGCTGTTCTGAGGGTGGGGTGGATGCCCTCCCTTCAAGCATGAAGACCAACTCAGCCTTTATCTGCACAGCACAGGGCAGTGGGAACTCCGTCAACCCGCTCCACTTGGTTCCGGGACCTCAGCCCTTCTGACCGACCTGGCACTGCCCCACCCCTCTGTTAGACACCAGGGCCTACCTCGGAGGGCCCGTTGCTCAGGCCTGATTTCCTTGGTCATGCAGCCTGATCCCCCACCTTCCTAAAGGCACCCCGTTTCCTCTGGGAAGACAACATGTCTCTGTCATGCAGGAGCGGAGAGATCACTGATCACTAGTTGGCCCCTAGCAAGCCAGGCCAGCCAGGTGCTTTGGGGAGTTGGACTCTTGAGAGAAGTTTGCTACGGAACATTCCATGGTGGCTCCTTGACAAGATGGCTGAGTTGTTCCTGGTGTACAATTCCTGAATCTGCTCTTCTGCTCTGCCCTAGTTCTGGGGCCGTTTGCCGGCTCTGTGCCCAGCCTTCCTGCCCCTGCATGAGCCACTGGGCATCTGTTTGAACATATCTTTTTGTTTAACCCAGGTAAAGCCAGTCTCGCTGGCAAAGAGCCCCCGCTGACACAGGACTTATGTGGGTTATTTACTTACCGTTTTCGAGATCAGGCACTTCCTAGGAGCACAGTAAATATTAACTCATTCATTCTCATGATCCAATGAGCTATGTACTACTTTCTCCACTTCACAGATGGAGCTAGTGCACAGGGGAAGCAAGTAACATGCCCAGGGACACACAGACACTCGTGAGAAGCTGGGATTCTACCTTCTATGCTGGCTTCACAGTCTGTGTTCTCAAACGCTAGGCTCTGCTGTCTCTCAGTACAAATAAGCACCATTCACAACACCAAAAATAATCAAGAAGAGCCAACTGCAATTGAGGTTTAATGAAAAATAAAAGCTATGATAGGGATGACACAGAACTATATTAACTGACATGTAACAATGCTCATTATATACTATTAAGTTAAAAACATTGATTAGAACACATTTTATTGTTAAGATGATATAAGCCCTGTTCCCCTCCCAGCTTGCACTTCACACACACACACACACACACACACACACACACACACATACACACACACACACACATCTGCCCCCCTCACATTACAAAGCCTAGAATAATTCTCATCATATTGGTGAGCATGGTTATTCTTCTTCCCTGGAGAGGCCAACCAAGCATTGTGTTCTTAGTGGTAGAAGATAGCTTGGAGCTTTGGAGGGGATATCCTGATATGCCCCTGACCACTGAACCCCTGATCTATATGACCTGTCTCTGAATTCTTGGTAGGGTTTATCTCTCATCATTTGGGGTACATGTGACTCAACAAGGCTTTCAGAACACTCAACACTTTTTGCTGCTCAGATCCAATTAGCATACTGTCACTGTGATGGTTCATTTTGTGTCCACTTGACTGGACCATGGGTCACTCTAATTAAACATTATTTCTGAGTAGTTCATTGACAATGTTTCTGGATGACATCAGCATTAAAATTTTTTTTTTAGTGTTTATTTAGTTTTGAGAGAGAGACTGAATGCATACGGGGGAGTGGCAGAGAGAGGGAGATGTAGAACCCGAAGCAGGCTCCAAACTCTGAGCTGTCAGCACGGAGCCCGATGCAGGGTTCAAACTCAATGAACCATGACATCATGACTTGAGCCTAAGTCAGACACTTAACCTACTGAGTCACCCAGGTACCCTGAGATCAGCATTTTAGTCAGTGGACTCAGTAAAGTAGATTGCCCTCCCCAGTATGGTTGGACACCATCCATACTGTTAAGAGTTTGGGTAGCGGAGAAAAAGGGGAGAAAGGGAAATTCATTCTCTTCCTGTCTGCTTAGCTGAGCTTTTCTCTTGGATTTCCAACTCTCTTAGACTGGGATTTACACTCTCTGCTCCTCTGGTTCTTGGGCCTTCATACTTGGGCTGGAATTACACCTCATCTTTACTGGGTCTCTGGCTCACAGATGGCATATCATGGAGATTCTCTGCATCCATAATTACATAAGCCAATTCCATATAGTAAACCCCTGTATATATAAATACATGGTTCTGTTTCCAAAACTATTGGTTCTGTTTCTCTGCAGAGCCCTGACTAATACAGTCAACAATATAGTGGATTAATGTACTGTATTGTAGTGTCAAGATAGACTAGGTTTCTTCAGGCTATATGCAACAGAGAACAGGAGAATTCACATGGTCCTGGGGCAAGGCCATAAATGTGTACAAGTGTCCAGTCCATGTGAACATGAACTGCTTCTGATTCTATTTCCTACTAGATATTTTAAAAGCACATTTTCCATATTAACAGTTGCACAGCACATACCATAGGACATGCTACTCTGCTTTAAGAGATAGCACATTTAAAAAAAATTTAAAAAATAAAAGATAACACATTTAGCACAACAGCTGTAATGGGTGCTACTACTTGTTGACATTTCTAGTAGCCATGAACCAAGTAGCTTCTGCAGAGACAAGCACAAATGGAGAGGTAATGAGGATACAATAGCTGCATCTTTTAAGTCTTTGCAGATGGCACTAATCTGTCATTCTCTAGCCCAGGAATATGACATTGTTTTTTGACTCTTTTCACCATGGGAAATTCCAGTTTCAGGGCCTTCCACTGGGCTTTTCTTAAGACAGTGATTATTATTTCACAGGGTATTTTGTAGGTTAAATAACCAGTTTACCCAACTTCTACATATGTCCCTTCCACGTATACCCTCAGGAAGTGTGGTGGCTCCATGGATTGAGTCGACCCATTGTGACATGGATATTACCTGACCTCCACATACTCTACTCAACAAGGACCATGATGGTGCTTTATGTTCCTAGAGTAGCATTGAATTCAGAAGCTGTATTCAACAACCTTTGAAAGATCTATATATTTTCCTTTCTATGACATATGGTTTCTAGAATAAAAGACCATTGGTCCTTTTGGTAAAGAACTGAGGAAATCACTATGTGTACATTTGCAAAGTTCTTTTCTTATGAGACCTTCCTTCATTTCCATCAGCAGGTTTTGGGTCCAAGAATTGACTCAGGTCTGGAAACTGGACAAGGGATCTTGACTTTTCATTGAGTCAGCTGAACTCAGCTATCTGATCATCTATTTTTAATCTCTTTTGATGGTATGTATGAAGCAATATCCTTGTTCGTTGCCCATTTGTCTTGCCTATAAGAACACCTTGTCCTGCAAGCTATCTCCAGAGACATCCATGGACAAGGCCCCATGGCTATCATTCTAACCTTGCTGCATTACAGAAGTTACATCATCGTGCTTGACAGTTAAATGCTACTCCCTGCTTTTGTTCTCCAATCATTTCCATTGCTAGAATTCAGTTCTGTAAAACATTCCCACATCATTCCAACCTACAGAGGACAGCCCTTGCTACGCATCTCAAGGATGCTGTTGTCTCCTCAGCAGTGTGTTCTTTATCACCTTGGTAAGTTAGTGTCTCTGAGGCCTCCTGAGGAACAGTCACCTATAGGTGGTTTTTCCAGCTGGAGAGAATAGAATCATGCCAATTTCACTAGGCTTTTAGATTTTCCTTTTCCATAATCTGCCTTACCAAATATAGTATGTCTACTTCTGTTTCATCCAGGGTGTATCCTGGCTTATCGCAAGCCTCTAAGAGTCACCTAGGAGCATATTAGAATCATCACCTCTGGCCCCTGCCAGGCTAATTAAGTTCTGTGGCACAGGAGAGTGCGCCTGTATCAACAATTCTCTTTCCAATTTCATATTCCCCTTTCTTCATTCAGGATCTGCTCCCACACACAATCCCCTGGCATCTGCTGGTACATGTTGGCCCAGTCCTTCAGCTGCACTGCAGTAGAGCCCTCTTTTCACCTAGCAAGCCCATGCAAGACACTCCCAGTTAGGTCATACTGAAGCTACTCTGCATAGTCTTCATTCAGGCAAGAGGTGGGGTGGTAAGGATCTGTCTCCAAAGCAAGAGCAGGAGTTCTCTTCTGCAGGCCTATTGGGCTCAGAGGGATCTAGAGTTCAGAGTTCTCATGTACATCGACCTAGAGAGTTTCAGGTCTTCACCCTTTCTTTATTAGTGCCCTAACTTTGGCATAGAAGGCTACCCTGAGCTTAGAATTCAGTTTTCTCTGAAGTTCTGCCCTTCTTAAAAGCAGAGCCAGGCCTTCCTTGCTGCCTACTTTCCAGCTTCAGGGATGGTGGTGATTTTGGGTTAGATGATTAATAGCTTTAAGCCTGTCTTTTACTCTTACCAACATATTAGTGGCACTTAGCAATAGCCATCAAAAATCCACACTTGTTACGGATACTATTTATCCTTTTGTAAATGTCAGAAAATTGTTCCAGCTAGTATACCCCTATATAGTATTCCCCTATAGCTCATCCAGTTTCCTACAGGTGAAAGTTTTGGCAGTGAGATGGTTGTAAAACCCCAGGTACTCTCAACATTTCACTTGTCACCGTCTGGCTAGACCGTGACCTCACATCAGAACCCCATCCTCAAGTCCTGCTTGCTAGGATCAATAGTTTACATTGGATTCCTTAGAAGCAGAGTCTCTTGAGTAACTGATTTATTATGAGAATCTTTTCAAAAGAAAAGGGATGAGGGAAACAGGATAGCATGGTGGGAAAAGCCAAGCATGGATTGGTACCAGCTGGAGACTAGCTCCAGCCTGATCTCATGGAGAATGAAGGAGCATGGATCACTACAAGTTGGTTCCACCTTGGGGCTGGAAGCTGACCTCCAGGCCCAAAAGGTGTGTAATCCCCAGGTGAAGCTGGCATTGGCAGAAGGTGATACTTTGGGGAAGAGTGCCAATAGCAGCCAACCCTCAGAACAGCTGGGACATGAAAGTTCTGCCCAAAAAGGAGATTTTCCAGGGTGTCAACAGCCTCCACTACACCAGTGAACTGCTCTCATTTGCTTCCTCAATAGCAAACACTTCCTTGAATTTCTTCTCAAATTCTGCCTCCAGTCTAAGTCCCATTAGTCCAAAGTCATTGTACTGAAAAAAAAATCATAAAGAGAAAAGACATAAAGACAAAAATAGCAATTCTCATTAGGTATTATTAGACAGCTTGCAATCAAAATATTTAGGACTTTGTCTTAAATACCTAAGTTACATTAACAGGTAGAAGCTTAAAGACTTATACAGCTAAGAACAACTTTTGTTTCCTATGTGCACAATTATTTTTGATAAGTAGACAGAAATGGGAAATCATTCGCATACTTAACACTCTGACTTATTTGGTTTGGGTTGTTTATTTTAGTGAGACTTAGAAAAGCCATGTATGTCTTTTGAAAACATCAAAGAGCACAGTCTAAGTACAATGAGCCATCTTGCTTCCCTGAAACTTCTAGTCCTCTCTGGTGACCCCTGTAAACTTCATGCTGCATTCACATGCAAAGAAATTTGGAATTGGGGCTTCTAACAAGTTGAGTTGATCTGGGGAGAGGTAAGAAGGGTCATATAACTTTAAGATGTCATTCTCTCCTCTTTGGGTTTGGAGCAGGCAGGACTCCACTGCTCTCTGCGGGCACCTGTCACCCTTGAGGAGGGGAATGAGCTCTCAGGGTCCTGGGGTTCTGGTTGCAGAAATACCTTCTGACTCACTGCTACTCTGCTGTGGTTACCTCAAGTCCTGAAATGGAAAAGTCATTCATTTCTATAACACTTCCTTGTGCAGGCTTGTCATAGGGTGAGGGAAATGTAAAATTTTCCAGGCAGCAGAAAATGAGGGCAGAGCGACTCAGTGGAAAGAAAATGAAATGGAAGCAGAGAGAGCCTCTTACCTTGTAAGATGCCCTGTGGTTCTGAAAGATGAGGCGCATGTCCTGCACAAACCCCTCTACTCTGGGGTAACCCTGTTTATTTAGCTTCTTCTTGATTTTGTCCAACCACATGGGTTCCTTTAGGTTTTGAGAAACCTCTTTAATCTGGTGGGGGGAAAAATATCAATGGGAGAATTACTGGTATAGTTTTCAATGTCTGTCTCCAGTGGATTTCCTGAACTCCAGCACAGATACAAGGTAAAGAAAATGGCGGCTCATGCTCTCTCTCTCATGGGATTCCGATCACAAATCCCCCCATTGCCTGTGTGAAAGTCAGGGAACATTATGGCAGCCTGTAATCATGGTTGGTTGTTGATACTTACATAATAATAGTATGGAATCTTCGAAAAAAAGGAGCTCTCTGAATGGCAATAGACCTTCAAGAGAAGGAACTCACATTTCTGCAAAAGAAGACGCCTGTGAACTCACAGCAGTTTGGAGACATTGAGCTCATTCACATGCCCAGGCAGAGACATGACTTAACACTGTCTTCTGGAACTTTCCCCAAACATGTTGGCTTATAGAAACAGACATATAATAGCTGAGTTATATTTTCTGCAGTATGATTTCAGCATGATTGAGACATGGCTTGGAAGAGCAGGCTCCCTTGGGCACCCTTCCCCTTACCCTAGACCTGTTGGACTTCTCACCGTCAGGGGTAAGGAGAAGTCTTGGGGTTTGCACCCTGCTCACCATCTGCTCCTCGGGATGCATCTGCCTCTCCAGGACCTCAGATTCCCTGTGACACTGCTGCCTTCGCAAAGACTCCATCCTGCAGAAGGTGCAACTCCACGGGCTCCTGAGAGGCCAAGCAAAAGTAAGCAAGGGCAAGGCCCCTGGAAACAGCCACTGTCCCTATGGCTGCCATTGTCCTCCTTTTAGACATGGCTGATAGACATAGCTGGAAGATGAAGCGGATCCCACCCAGAGACTCCAGGACCCCCATGTGGGGCCTGAGCCCATTGAGGGTGGCAATAGCAGGCTCTGTGCACGGAGGGTGGGGATAAGGTGAGTGGTGAGCCTTTCTTTTCCTCTCTGAGCTGCTGGGAACCCTGCCTGCCACGTCTGTGTGTCAAAACTGAGCCTTAACCCCGAAGGACCAGGTTTCTATCAGCCTGTTGAGTCCATGGTAAAACGCATGAGCCAGGCCACTTTTCCTGCCTTTCTGAAAAAGTGCAGATCACAAAAATCTGGTGTGCTCACCTCTATGAACAGGGCTTGGGGCTAGAAAAGCTTCTCAAAGGGACAGTAGCACTATGTAGGCAAGGGACCCAGACACCAGCCTCAGCATCCCAGAGGACAGCAAATAACAGTATTCCCTCCTGCTGCCAGTGTTTTAAATCAGCTAGATCACGCTGCTGGAACCCATACCTATGGCCCTGATCCTTCTTTCTGCAGGGAGAGTTCCTCCTATGGCAGGAGGAGGGGTTCATAATCTGGGTGGGAGAACTTCATCTCACAAACCTCTCAGTTTCCACAGGTGGGATGTGACAGTCCTCGTGAAAGGATCTTGAACAGGTGTCACAACAGAACAGCTCTCCTCCATCCCGACACATCTCACACACATCGGAGTTTCCCAGCTAGGAGAAACAATGTCGGCATCCCTGGTGAAACCCTGGCAGACCACCACTGTGTAGCTGTAACTCGCTGCGTCTGTGTGAACCTGTATGAACATATCTATGCTTCTCCCTGAGTATGAAGGACCAGCATGGAGTGTAGACTTCAGAAGAAACCATGGTCCATAGTGATGCCCAAGATGCACAGGAGTGATGCCTGTGTGTCAGATCAGAAAAATTCTCCATACAAAACCAGAGATTCTAACACAGAAAGACTGTAGCAAAACAAGATGATTTTATAAGACTTGGAATAGTATTATTACCTTGCTGATAAAACAAGTTCCTGAAATAAACTATTAAATGCATTTGCCTATACTTCAATGAAGAAATACAATCATGGAAGGGTGAAATATTGAGAATTTAATAAGACGGAGTAAACTCCTTAGTGTGGAAAGTGATAAAAGGTGAAAAGACATTCATTAACCATTATTCTGAGTTTGTTTTTGGCTTATATTGGGTGAAAGGGGTTCTAGCTATTTCTTTTGTTTTTTAAAATGGCCCTATATGAGGAAGTGCTAGCCCCAGTGAATGTCTAGCCAAAAACTCCCATTCAGTGTCTCAGGGAATCCTCAGAGACACCTCCAGCTGGGGCTGAGGCTGCTCTGGCATGGAGCCATGGGGCCAATTTTCTTCTCATCGGTGCAGACACTCCTAGATTATGATCATCAACCTTGAGGAAGTAATGACCCTCTTTCCAGAAGAACAAGGAAACAACAAATACAACCAATGTTTAAGAATCTCCCATACATATACTTTTTAACAGATACAGCTCTTTGTTTCTTAATCCAGTTGCACATTAAAATCATTTGGGGAGAGTATGTAAAATATTAATGTCCTGGTCCCAATGCCAGAGATTGGGTGGGCACAGCCATTGGTATTCTTCTTTAATTAAAAAATGGGTGATTTTATGTATCAGAATATTTGGTACTTTCAAGCAATCCTAATGCCCAAGACACAGCCCAAGACTTTTTAAGTCAGAACTTCCTACAGAGTGGAATCCAGGTAATATTGTTTTTCAAAAGTCCTCAGGTGACTAAGTATGCAGCCCAAGGTGGGATTTAGCCTGAGCAAAGTCTGGTTATTGGGCATAGCGATATCAAAAGTCAATGTTGAGGTGGCCCATAATATCTACCCCTGGAAAGATTATAAACATGGGGGGGGGTCTCCATCCATCCCAAACAAGACACCCAAACACTGGACTCGAGAGCTGTATAGATGATTGAAGACTCCCTAGGCTTAGGGTCAAAAATCAGTGTGGATAGGATCTAAATCTTGTTGGGGGATTGCTTTGGAGGTAAAGTACATGCAGAACTATATGACTATCCCTCCTCTGTTGGATGGCCTATGTCAGTTTTACTGCTTGTGAAAACTGTCTGAGTGTTACCCCTGAAGTTGTGCAAAGGTGACTATGCCTTAAATGTCTATTTTGTTGCAATGAAAGGAATCATAGCATGATTTAGCATAGAGAGTGTTGTCACCCATAATTTTGATAGATCTTATAAGCCAGCAACCATGTGGGACCACCCTGTGATTGGTTGCGTGGTGATGGCTTCAGTCCTAACCAGTTCAGCACCTTGATGGCTCCCTTGAGACTGGATACATGGCCTCCATAAAGGGCCCAACTGCTTTGTATGCATTTCTCTGCAGGACTTACAACAGGGTCTACCCCGTGGACTCACCACCTTGGCCCAGCCTGTTCCTTCTGGCTGATCTTAGCTCTGCCGCACTTTGGAGTGGATATTTGGGATCTTCCATTTCCTTCACTATTGCCTTCTTTAAAATGCTGCTATTCTTTCAAATTTGCTCCTTACCCCTAATCTGCAGGCCAGCTCTGGCTATTTCCACTTCAGCCCAGGTTCTAGAGGCCCCAGGGGACTAGAAATTTGTCCTCTGAGCTCCCATACTCACTTGCAAGGGGAAATGAGGAAACAGGATGGTTTTACTAAACAAACAGGAAAGGATGTTTTCATGCAGAGGCACCAAGTCCAGAACCATCTCCCTGGTGTGGGTGATACACCTGCTGTTCTCTGCTCATCACACAGCGACATGCCCCAACTGAGCATGAGCATGCTTTAGGGAAATGCAGCAATGACACAGATAGTACACGGAAGGACAAGGCCTGGATTATTCTGGGGTTAGAGGTGTCGTACTTACATGAGGGTGAGCTAAGGTATCGTTGTGAGATTTTGGCATTGTCTGTTGAAAAGAGGGAAAGATTGAATAACAATATGGAATATTAGGATTGCATCCATCCCTTATTTAACAGCATTTGTGGAGGAATTCAAGCTACAGTCTACCCATTATTTCATACCTAGCTTTGTGGACCTATATATCTACTTGGAGAATAAAAAGTACCAAAATACCACTGTTTGGCCAATGCAAGTTCAATTTCCTGGATTTCCGACCCAAGGTAGGCCTTTGTGAAGCCATGCAGGGAGCCTGGCCCTGGTTTCCACAGATGGAGCTGGAGAGACTCCACTGGTTCTCCTACTTTGAGGGGCCCTCAGGCATTTTTCTTTACATTAGAAAGTATCGTTCCACTGGGAGGAGGTGTAATGAAAGAATCAGGTCGATAACTCATCACCAACAGCCCTCAGTGACCACTGGACCCAGAGTCCTGGAATCCACGGGAATGTCCCAGAGAACTCCACTGCCTTTCACAGTTCTCCCAGAGCACAGTCCTAAAGAAAAAATGTGCCCAAGGTCCCCAGTGCTGCAGCTCTTCTTCCAGAAGTTCACCCTCCTCTCTCCTCCTAAAAAGATGTCAGCTTTTCAGAGGCAGTTGACTATGACTCACTAGACTTAGAATTCTTTTGCATATTCAGTAGAATGACCTGGCTTCCTTCCCTCTCGAATGCAGCTTTTATCTCCACCGAAGACAGAGTACTTATAGACAAGTGATCCATGGAATAATGAACTGAGAAGTGACCATGCCATTGCCCCTTTCTCTGGGTGACCTAAAATTTCCCTCCCTCTCCCCCTTGGTTAATCTTCCATGTTAGAATTTGAGGTTGAAACAATCCTCGAGGTCAGGAATATTATTTCAATCATCTCTAATGGCCACCCGACATTTAGTATGAGCTTGGTAATTATATGAATGAGTAGATAAATGAATATTGCTTAATTTAGGAAAAGAGATTATTTGCTATCTCTTAAGAAATATTAGCATATGATATACTGGAAGAATATATTATTTTACAACACAGCAGCTGTCACCAAAAGGTATTAGTGACCCTTGTCAAGAGCCAATAAGCTATCACTTGGCTTCAAGAGTGATACTGAAGTTTCCAAAAGCCAAGGGGCTCTATAAGCAAAAGAGGTTCTGAGACTCACAGAGGACTCATGGAGGTATATTGGATCCTGAGATTTTCCACTTTGGGGAGCTCACGGGAAGACAAAATATAGAGGCAACTGAGGCTTGTTGCTAAAAAGTGTTGCACCTATTGATAAGGGTCGAACCTGTTGATAAGAAGCTGCAAGCTCACAGGGGTAATCTAACTACTTTATGTTATTTTTTTTTATTTTAATTTCATTTTTTAAAGTAAGCTCTATGACTAATATGGGGTTTGAACTCACAATCCTGAAATCAAGAGTTGCGTGCTCTACCAACTGAGCCAGCCAGGCACCCCTAACTGAGTGAGTCTTGACACCTGGGGAATGATACAGATGCTGGTCTTTAAAATACTAAATAGATCAATTTCCTAAAGGAAATCCAGGGGATGAAATATCCCAAGGACTGAAAGGTCAAACAATCCAGAACATTAGATATTCCCATTCCCAGTGAAAGATGAAGTCCCATTGCCTAGCTATGTATGCTTGACCTATCTTAGAAGCCTGTGAATGTCTCAGATGACCACTCCTGCCTGAAGTAAGAATGACATGTCTCATGGGGCGCCTGGGTGGCTTAGTCGGTTAAGCGTCCGACTTTCGCTTAGGTCATGATCTCGCGGTTCGTGGGTTCAAGCCCCGCGTCGGGCTCTGTGCTGACTGCCAGCTCAGAGCCTGGAGCCTGTTTAAGAGTCTGTGACTCCCTCTCTCTCTGACCCTCCCCTGCTCACGTTGTCTCTCTCTCTCTCTCCTAGAAATAAATAGAACATTTAAAAAAAGTTTGAAAAAAAAAAAAAAAAGAATGACATGTCTCATTTCCTGCTCCCCATTAAGTTCTTACTTGTACCCAATCTTGGAAAAACCATCACTTTGTCTTGAATCTACACTGCACTTAAGCTGTTCATTTGTTGTCTACATAGACTTCTTCCACTGAGGGAGGAATCATTTTCTCAGATAGATAGGAGGTCTGTACAGCTCCTCTGGCGTAGCTGAAAGGGTAGCATCAAAGTAAAAAACAATTCCAGATTGGCCCCTCCTGTATGATACATCAATCTCCCCCAAACTTCCTTCCCAAACGCATTGTCCTCAAGAAGGGCAAATAATTTCCCCTAAAAGGAATTCCATATGTGTGTGTGTAGATTTAAATGGAATGTGAAGGGGGATTAAATGGATCAGAAAAAAAATATGCCTTTTGTTATCTATCAGATGGAATAATATGGTTTAATATATGGCCCAGAATAGACTGTCTACCAGAGAGGGGTCATCTGAATCACCATGAACAAATTTGCTCCATCAGATTTCATTTAAGTAACAATGAGTTTTTTAAAAATCTGGATTTGAGGGGCACCTGGGTGGCTCAGTCTTTTCAATGTCTGACTCTTGATTTCTACTTAGGTCATGATCCCAGGGTTGTGGGATCAAGCCCCCCTTCAGGCTCCACACAGAGCATGGAGCCTGCTTGAGATTCTCTCCCTCTCTCCCTCTGCCTCTCTTCCCCTCTCATGCGCTGCCTCTTTCTCTCAAAATAAAATAAATTAATAAAAGAGAGGTGGGTGCATGGGTGGCTCAGGCAGTTAAGCAACCAACTCTTGATTTCAGCTAGGTCATGAGCTTATGGTTCATGGGATTAAGCCCCGCATCAGGCTTCATGCTGACAACATGGGGCCTGCTTGGGATTCTCCCTCACTCTCTGCCCCTCCCTGGCTCATGCTCTCTCTCTCTCTCTCAAAGTAAGTAAATAAACATTTTAAAAAGTAGCAACTCTGAAGTCACATGCTCAAAAAGAGGGAAGAAGAGTTGGAGGAAACTTAATTATAATAACTCAACTGAAAACAATATATAATTGTACATAATAACATCAGTTATGTGATGAGAACTTATAAAACGTGACATAATAATCACCTTTCTTTTCTTGAAAGATTTTCTTAGAGGATTATGTAGAAATCCTTTCTGAAAAACAAAAAGATCCTAGTATGTGGTTACATATGTTTCTGGTTTGTGAGTCTGGCATTTTAGCCTTTTCCCATATATTTCTACCTGGGTGTCTGACAATCAACTCAAAGCCAGGGTGGCTAAATGACAAACCATCTCCCTCTCTTCACCTGTACTTCCAGAATTCAATCAATGGTAGAATTTCAAGCAATGGAACTTTAGAACTTTTTTCTTTTCTCTTGTGCTTTTCCCCCAAGTTTTAAGAGGTTTTTCTTCACAATCTCTTTGACACCTCCCACTTCTTTTCCATTCCTGCCAATGCCACTCATGCTGAGTCCATTGACCAGAGAAATTCAATCAACACACACTTATCCCATGTGTACTGGGTATCAGACACTTTGGACAATATTGGGAACACAAATATGGACAAATTTTAGAGGTGTCTAGAGAGAAAAAGGGAATACATGGAAAGATAAGCATAAAACAGTATAATAATGGTCTTACAAGTGGGCTCATGGAGCCCAGAGAGGGAAGACATTTGAGATGAGCATTGCAGGCTGAATAAAAGTTTCTTTGGGCTAAAAGACATGGAAATCATTTCAAGGCTCCATGGTTGTCTAAAATACTGTTTCAAATATGTCGTTTCACAGCTCAGAAGAATTCATTGATTTTTCACTGTCTATATTATGAGTTTAAATTCCTTGGGCTGATATTAAATCCATCCATAAACAACTCTAATTGATGGATCATGCCTAATATACACAACCTGTCTACCCCAACCCACAGAGTTACTTCAGTTGCAATTCTGGTTTTCATGCCATTTTTTCTCTGCAGTAGCTTCTTTCCATTTGTATGACTGTACACTGTCTCCTTTCAGTGTATTACGTGAAGTTGTCTGCATGCACCTGAGTCACAGTAACCTCTCCCTCCTCCAAGCTTCAGCCTCTATCCAGGCAGAGCCCCCTTTCAGGCAGTGATGTGGCATTGTACAGAGGTTATGAATGTGGGTCATCTCTTGCTGGGTAAGTGGATAAACCCAGGGGTATCAGCTTTTTAGCTATAACTCAACAAAAACTTGGTGAGCAAATAATGACCATACAACATTGGAGTCAATCTGCTCCAGTCCCTGGAATACCTCCATCAGCCATCGTAGGGGCCTCCTACCACAGCGCACACTCAGCTTCCAGTTCTTTGATCTTGCGTAGCCTCCTCTGATTTCAAATTCCCTGGGGGTGAACCATTTTCCATCCTCACTCTGTATAGACCTCACCAAGGATCCTGTAAGACCAGGGTAAGTTGATTCTGAGCCCTCTTTGTCTTCAGAACTCAGATGATGGACTCCTACCACAATGCATCTGGAGCCACCCAAATTGGGCTCCAGATGTGTAGCAGGAGAGTCTAGTCTTCCTTTTCAGCCTTCAGACTCCCAAAATCTAGACTGTAAGTCCCCTCATAGGAGATTTGCTGCCTTGGGGCAACATTTTTTTAAACCTCATGCAACAACAAGGTGATGATTACCATCAAAATCAACCTTTTAAAAGTATTTCAAAATCATCTACAAAGGAAAAGCAAGTGAACCTGAAGGGTGAGAGGATCTCAATTTGCTGGGGAAAGAGAACAGGCCAGAATCTCCAATGGCCCTTGGGTGCAATGTGGGGGCAAGAACCTCAAGTTGAGGCTGAGCTCAGAATGGCACCACTCAATATCTGTAGCCTTTATTACAACATTTTTTATCCAACGTAATGGCATTATTGAGCAGAGATTTTCCCATACTTAAAATCACAGATAGCTGATATTAAAAATAATTATGGGGGCACAAAGGTGGCTCAGTTCATTGACTATCTGACTCTTGATCTTGGCTCAGGTCATGATCTCACAATTCATGGGTTTGAGCCCTACACTGGGCTCCGCACTGATGGCACAGAGCCTGCTTGGATTTCTGTGTTTCTTTCTCTCTACCCTTCCCTCATTTGTATTCTCTCATAAACAAACAAATAAATAAATACATAAATAATAAAGTTAAGAAAATAATTGTGAAGTGTTAACCAGTGGAAAATTAAGCTATTCATAAAAGATAATCATATGCTAAACAGAATTTCTCAGCCATTAGAAAAACACACATCAAAACCACAATGAGAAACCACTTCACACCCACTGGGATAGTCGTAATAAAAAAAAAATCAGACAACAACAAATGTTGATGAGGAAGTAGAAAAATTGGGGCCCTCATACATTGCTGGTGGGAATATAAAATAGTGCAGTCACTGTGGAAAACATTTTGGTGTTTCCTTAATAAATTAAATATAGATTGAGCATATGAACCAGTGGTTGCACTCCAGGTCTATAAGCAAAAAATTGAAAACACTTGTTCACACAAAACTTTATACATCAATATTCAAAACAGCATTGGCCGTAATAGCTAAAGAATGAAAACAACCCAAAGTGATGAATGAATGATGTATACAGTGTATTCATACCATGAAATATATTATTTGGCAAAAAAAAATAATAAAGCACTAATACATGCTATTGCATGGATGAACCTTGAAAACATCATGCTAAAGTGAAAGAGCCCAGCCATAAAAGTATTCATATTAAATAATTCCATTTATATGAAATACCTAGAATAGGCCAAATTATTAAGCAGAAAATAGATCAGTGGCTGCTTAGGGCTTGGCAGTGGGATTAGCTGGGAATGCTTACTGACTGCAAATAGACATGGTGTTTGCTTTAAGTGGGAGACAGATACAAATGTTCTGAGATTAGGTTGTGGTGATGGCTGAACAATCCTGGGAAAATGCAAACAAAATTCAATGCTAAATTCTATACTCTGAGTGGGACACTGAATGATATGGGACTATATCTCAGTGAAGCTATTTAAATATTTTAAACCAATTACATAAATTAATTCCTCATAGCTATACTGTGAGGTAGGTTTTTAATTATTATCCCCTTTTTTTAGATGAGGAAAAAAAAAACCTTACTTCAAGCTCAGAAAGGTCTCTACTCTCTACTCTATACCTCCTGGCATAGGTGTGGGTGAGTTCACACTTCCAATTCTAAATTCTGTACTCTTCCCACCATATCAACACCCTGCCCTGGTGATGATCATCCAGAAGGGAGAGAGGATATGAAGGTAGAGGTTGAGGGCTTCTTCCTTTTTAATTCTGATTTGCTTCTTTTTGGTTCCTTGGGCATCCCCATGGACATTTCCATGTGGGAGTGATTTCTGAAGGTATAAACATAGCAACTTAGGGATCCCTTCTTCCTTCCCTGGAGCCAAACTGCAGCCTCAATCCCTTGACTGTTATGTAATTGACACGGTACATCTGGAACTCACCTTGTTTCAGTTTCTTCTTATATAACATCCCCTTCACCTCACCACAGGTCACAGGAAGTACTTGAGAGCGAAAATCCACGCTACAATCTGTGTGATTTCTTGACCCTGAAAGAGAAGATTTCTTCATTCTGCCACATTGTGCAAGTGCACATGCACCTCTCCAACCTTGTTGATTTTGTCCCTATAAAGATATAGAGGTGCTTGGGGAAGTCTATTCCACAAATGTCTGGAGTCAAAGTCTTTCTTCTAAGTGACATTTTTGATACATAATGACAGAATGCCTACCTCTATCTTACCCCTCAAATCCCCTCAAATACAAAACAGAATGCTCTTTCAGAGAAATCAAGCTTCAGGAAAACTGCCTTACTCCCAATCTTTCAGCCTTGCTGGTTCTTCTATGACAATGAAACACACAACAGCTGCCATGTTCTGAAGGGAGCTGTCCAGCCACACTATTTCACTGCAGTTAGGTAGCTGGAGACAAAGTGGGAGACTATACTTACGTCTTCTTGATTGAGATTTAACTGAGCAGACAGAGGGTAATAAATGACAGGCTAACCTAATGGAGATGATGTCTGCCTTCTAGTCTTGTTCTCTGCTTTGCTTCATTTCTCTCTCAAATCAGCTTTCTCTATAGCTACAAGAGGAGCTCAGAGAACTCTAGATTACTCTGTACACTGCATGAGGAAAGGCAGTTGGAGACCTGACTCCACCAAATCAGTGGTGAAGGTCTTCAAATGAACTAACTCAAGGAGGATGTGTAGCTGATGCTGTTCTTCCAGCCAACGTTTTAGAACCAAGAGGGGAGGTGGGGAGCTGTCCATGGTCCAGTTTTGAGCCAGGCAGACTAACAGAATTGCAATGAATTGAGGAGGCTGGCCTAATTCACTCTGCTTTACAGATGAAGAAACTGAGACAAAAGATATCAAGTGATTGGCCCAAGCCCACACAATCAAAAGGAGAGAAAGACAAGCTACTACTGACCGCTACTCCAGGCCACCTGTGGTATGCAATCTGTGACTCCTGATGTAGCAAGAGAAGAAACAGCTAAATAATTTGTGGGTTATATGGCAACAGACAGTTTCCAGCTTGAACATTGTCAGTTCAGTGGAGACAGCATTCTTGCAGTGGCCTCTGGACCTGCAAGGTCTGATCACCAAGTTACTTGTTTGTGGGATTATCTTCTTCTTCTCCCTGACATAGTTTGAAAATGACTCAAATTGTATACATCTCTCAACCGCTACTAAAGCTGCAAAAACAATTAGGGAAGTGGATTTATTACTAAAATCACAGAGCACAGGAAATCAGCTGTTTAGTTACTGAAGTTATTTTCCTTTTCTTCTTTACCTTTTGACCGGACATTTTTCTGTGGGGCTTTGTCACTATGAGTTGAGTAAACAGGAGGTCTGCCTCTCTTTTTCCCTGAGAAAATAGAAACATATAATCACTACATGAACTAGTGCTTTCCGAAATTTCCATTTGAATATAACTTCCCCAAAGCCTATTTAATGGATAAAGAAAAATATACAGTCCCTAGTTTTAAGATACCATGAATTAGATATCTCATCTTATGTTCACCTTATATTTTATTTGTCATATCCCATGTTAGTAAAACAAACAGTGGAATCAGCATTTCATTTATATCTCAAGAAGCTACGTGTTAAGTGCTTAATAGATACCAATTGTACATCTACTAATTGACTTAGTCTTTTCAACAAACATATGAAATCAAGATGGTGATCGTTGCCATTAAAGAAACTAAAATATTCAGAGAAAGTTGAGACAAAAAATCACAAAATTAAGTGAAGGCGTTTCAGGTTTCTTCTTGTGGAGAAATAGAAATGGAAGTTCTGTGAGGGACAGGCTACAGTAAGCTTCACAGGTGAAACTCATGTTACACATCACCTTGAATGAAGTCATTTAAAAGGCTCTGTCTATCTGGGTTTTGACAAAGATATTAGAATCTAAGAAACTAACCAGAAGAAGGTTATCCTAAGAAGAATGGGTAGAATTGAGTCTTCTAAAATCTTAATTTCAAATACTTAATTAAGGATTGACCTGGCAGATGTTGCAGCAAGAAATGTTCTTCCTTTTGCAAGTTTTGGCTGTGGATATGCATCTCAGTGTTTTCTATCATTCAAATGTGGTTTATTTTCTCAGGCAGGAAGATAAATTCCTTTTTTCCTCTCTGTGTTCCATGCCCTACCACCTGGTGGTACTGTGTGGGGTTATTTAGACCCCATAAGGAAATATTTTCTAGACTACCCAGTCCTAACTGCTGTAAAATGTCAGCAGGTTACAAGCATATTAGGCCAGTAAAGTTAAAAAAATCTTTCTTTTAATAAAATCTAAAATAGACCAATTGCTTGCTAAATAATTCCACTTTCTGGTCTTTAGCCTAAACAACTACTGAGAGGGTTTTCATCTCTTCAAGACCAAAATGGCCCCATGTACAAATATTGATAATTAACCTTATCACAACATCAAACAAGCTACAGACTTGCAAGTTGTCACTCTGTTATAGTTTAACCAAGATACCAGCAGTTCAAATGAGGGCTCTACAAAGATCTATGAATTCAATCTATAAGAATCTTCTATAAGAAGGTGGAAGACTTGGGTATTATTAGCAATGGGTTAAGGAGAACTACTAAAAAGGTAGAAATATGGTCCTCAAAAAGGCAGATTAATCTTTTTACCCCCTCTTGCTTCCTTTCTCCAGAAAGTGGGGTCACCAGGTCATAGAAGGTCATCCACCCAGATATGGTTCTCTAAGGGGCCCTCCTTGCCTCCTCTCTACCCAAGATGCCTAAGTAGTTATGGACTCTTTGCTGCTCTCCCTCATCCCTTTTCTGAAGGTCCATACTCACAGTCCAGTGAGAAGAGATCCAGGCATCTTATTCTTGTCTTTCCTACCTGCCAGTCAGGCTTGACACTAAAGCTCTAAACACAGCCTTGGATAATCCAACAAATAAGAGTTATTTCTTGTTCTCTATCTGTCTCTCCCTGGTTACACCTTTCCAGGAACTAGTAGCTATGTTAGATTTCCCTTTCAACAAACTTGTAAGGCCTAATACTTTTAGGGAAAAAAAGGAAATACACTGAAGTCCATTCTAGTCTGTGGAGTTTTTGGTGTAAGGAGATTTGGATCTTAAAGCCAACTAATTCATAATACAGCACTATTGTGTTTTACTTTGAAAACACACTGATGAAGCAAGACAGGATTTAACTATTTTTTGTGTTCCCAGGGTGTAATATCCATTTAATAATAAAATCCCCCACCACAAACTCTAATATGGCAGTCAGAATATAATTTAAGGTTATTTTTTAATTGTTATGCTTGGTATTAATTAATCTCTAATAGTAAGTGTGACAGAATTTAAAATTCTTTCCTATTTTCCCAACGTTTTAGTAGAAGTCTCAATAGCTGGGAACAATTCACTAAGTGCTAAGGAGGGTAACTAATTGTCCCACTCTACCCAGAACTAAGAGTTATCCAGGATACAGGATTTTCAGTGGCACAACTGGGACTATCCTGGGGTGAGTGGGTCACCATAGTTTCAAGCAATTCACATTGGAAGGCAATGCACCAAACCACCTATGTGACCATACAAAGTATTGGTGGAACAGATTATCCCAGCGCTAGCTCTTCCTTCACATCCAGGCTGCAGAAGAATGCCTACGTTTCTCTCCAAAGAAGTCAAGCAGTGGTGCCAGACCACACTGAGAAGTTGATGAAAGAATCTTGTGGAGGAAAGAGCTAGTGACTGTGTACTCTGCATTTCCAATGTTATCTCAGAGCTGCCTCTGTCACATGAGACACTTCCATATTATTATCTCGCCTCTCTCATCCACGCCCCCTAATCCTGGAAGGGCCCAAACCAACAGCTCTTGAGTGGGGGCAGAGCCAAGAGATAATGTGAGAAAAATCTGATCATGCCACCTCTGCCTTGCAGGTGCCCCAGACCAATGATTGCTCAGGTTGAAGGAGGGGAAGTACTTTGAAATGGAGAAAATATTGAAGTTTTAATGTAGCCCAGAAAGGACTCTCAACTACTGGAAACAGATTTCACTTGTGACAAGGAAAAAGAACACTATCAGGCATGCCCAAGACAAGAAAAACTCATCCAGAACGTAGACTTGAAAGAGCAGTGAGAAAATAAACTTGCTTTCTAATTTGTAATTTACTAAGTCTGGCCTTTTTAATAAGCCAATGATGTAAGGTAAAGATATTTCCATGAAAAGCAGATAAAACTCAAGGAAAGGATTTTAGGTCCTGGGCAAATAAAAACTATAATATAAATGCAAACAATTTATAACCTTGGCTCCAATGGGTTTGCTTTCTAGATTTTGTAGCTCTCAAGTTGACTGGTAACTTTGGCTAGTAAAAAATTAAGGAGAATATATGTTCCTCAAAACCTTAGCAAAATTTGTATTGACCCATGGGGCCAAGTGTAAGTGGTACAAACTGTATCTTACCCTTAATCTTGGCAGGTTCTTGCATATGCATTTTTTTCTTTTTCCCACTGGAGGCCAACTGGTCAGTAGTGTTGCTGCTATCTAGGGGATAAGCGGGGGAAGATACAGAGTTGGACAAAACAGCAGTTGACATGAGAGACTAAAAGCAAGTGAGTGAACACCAGATTTAATTCTGAAACCCCTTTCACTATTCACTCAGACAAGAAAGCATGTTAATGGTAAGGGATCTCAAAGGGAAGTACATGTCCCACTTTTAGTAGGGAAGACTTTTAAATTACATATAAGAATCCATTGTACTCTGGAAAGAAATGGTTTAGATTTTATATATATACACAGAGATCTAAATGAAAATGTTATAATAATTAAATCCAAAAATTTGGCATTTTGAAAGTAAGGGTTCTAACATGGATGCAACCACTTTTTTTTTCTTTCCAAGCAAAATTGTACACATTCACCAACAGGGAAGCCATATAAATTGACAAGAACGTAAAATATACAGATTGGTGAAAATTAACAACTTTTAATTAGACTCTGAAATCTTGCTGTGTGGATCTGGTTCAAAATTGGTAATCATATGGAAAATGGGGTCTTAGTCTCATTGTCTAGAAGAAAAGAGTTCTTTAAACCACTTTTGAAATAAACAAGATTTCAGGGGTCCAAATAGAAGTAGAACATATAGGGGCACCTGGGTGACTCAGTCAGTTGGGTGTCTGACTCTTGGTTTCATTTTGAGTCATGATCCTGGGGTTGTGGGATCGAGCCCTGCATTGGACTTCATGTTGAGCATAGAACCTGCTTAGGATTCTCTCTCTCTCTTCCTCCCTCTTGCCTCCCCCGCTCCCATACACGCTCTCTTTCTCTTAAATAAAAATAAAAGAAAATTTAAAAAGAAGTATTACATATGTACTACTGGAATTTTAGAAAATAAAAATTGTATGAAACATCACCATCCTAGAGAGAGCCATAATTAACTTATTCAACATACTTCCTTAAGCTTTTGTCTTTGTATATTTTACTATTTATTTGTTTTTAAATGTTCATTTATTTATTTTGAGAGAGAGAGAGAGCATGTGTGCCCATGTGTGCACATGAGCAGGGAAATGGCAGAGAGGGAGAGAGAATCCCAAACAGGCTCTGTAGTAATAGCACAGAGCCTAGTGTAGGGGTTGATCTCACAAACCATGAAATCATGATCTGAACTGAAATCAAGAGCTGGATGCTTAACTGACAGAGCCACCAAGGCTGCCACTTTACTACTTAAATAATCATTTTTCATTACAAAATTTGAACGTGTTTAATATTTGCAACGTACACACCTGCATTTAAAAAACACAAATAAAAATATAAATATCAAATATATTCCAGTGACCATATACAACTGCCACGTATATTCTTATTGGTTCACATCTACTGATTTATCCCTATATCTATATCGATGCCTCTCTCCATATAGGTAGATAAATATGTGCAAATAAGAATTTATAGATACCTAAAAACACATTTGTGTAATTACATGTTTTTGTTACATACATAAGCACACACACTTAAACAGTCTGCTTTTGCATTTAGCTTTCTGTGGAACATCTTACCAAATTAATAACAATTTCTTGGCCAAGCAGAGAAGCCACATGTTGAGGATGGCAGTGTCTCCCTGAATCATTTAGCTCTGGGTGATTACAAGTAAGAGAACTAAACCAGTTTGTGGAAGCCACTGTGTTCAGGCCTCTCTGTAACAGTGGCTTAGTTTATGTCCTAATTATGCCACTGCTAGGAAGCAATCAGAGCCCTCAGGAGCCGCAGTCCTGCAGGGAGACCATAAACAGGACCTTACACTCATGTGCTTACCTTTTGGGAGTATGTTTCTCTGCAATTTCCTTTTATGTCTTGTCCAGCAATGGCCTTTCTTTTTTCCTTCGAACAAAAGAGAATAAAGTTAATCATTCCGAGCTGTAAATATAATTCTCAAAGCCATAGATGTTGGTAGTTTTCAGGTACTTTTTCAGGCCACAAGAACAGGGCAAATTTCTTTTTTTTTTTTTTTTTCAAATGTTTTATTTATTTGTAGGAGAGAGAGAGAGACAGTGTGAGCAGGGGAGGGTCAGAGAGAGAGGGAGTCACAGACTCCGAAACAGCCTCCAGTTCTGAGCTGGCAGTCAGCACAGAGCCTGACGCGGGGCTGGAACCCACGAACCGCGAGATCATGACCTAAGCGAAAGTCGGAGGCTTAACCGACTAAGCCACCCAGGCACCCCCAAAATTCTTAACTATGAGCGCAGCAGTGTGAGACTGACTACAGAGTTAATGCTTTATTCTGCACGGACTTGGGAGACTATAGGAGATGATCTTCCTTTGAAAATTGAAAAAAAAACCCACTAAAATTGGAAAAAAAAATTCTACTGGTGCCTTCGCCTGAATGATAATTGTTGCAGGTATATATTAACATGTTTCCTCTTCAAGTGTCTTCCCTGTACCTTCAAATGTGCAATAAGGAGTCACAGTCCTCACAGCTGGATGGTGTCACGGATAATCTGCCATATGAGGGTTTGGGAGGTGTTCTCAGCTTTGAAGTGGAGACTTAAGCAGTCTCTGTACTTGCAGTTGTGACCCAAATCCTCCTACTTACTTGCCCTCTAAGGCCTGAAGTTCCGGGAGGATGTAAAGAAACCACAGCGGATTGTGTACTGTGTTTTGCATTCTTGTGAATGATGTGAAAACACAGACACATGAGACGACCATTGACGCTGGGTAAACAGAGCTTGTACCTTGTTACTACTGTGAAATAGTAATAGTCAGCAACTAGATTTTTACTGCCGTACGTCCCTCATCTCTTCCTGTCCTCATCTCTGACTGTACATCCCTCATCTCTTCCTGTCCATGCACTTCTGGAAGGTTCTTTGGTCATGGAAGGCGGCTGTCCCCAGAAGGGATCAGCTTCATTCCTGCATCATGACTGGGATAAAAGCAGTGGGGGATTAATGGTGTTTGATAGACCAGTTCTGAAAACTCAGGATTCTGTACAGCCATTCCTGTTCCCTCATTGTCTCCCTTACCAGCCTGAAGGGCACAGCCTTCAGAGAGCCTATGGGGTTCAGATTTAATTCTGATTACATTTTATGAAAATGCTTTCACTCCACTTATATCTGACCCCTGGATAAACGGTCTGAGTGGGAATAGGAGATAATTTGGAAAGGAAGAAATTCCAGCCACCTGAATGGTACACCCAGATTTTGTGGCAGTAAAGGAAGAGCAAAAATCCAGGCATCTGAAGAGGGAACCTGGTAAACCCTAGTAGGTATGGAGGAAGGAGGAACATTAATGACATCTGCCTTGCAGAACTGTCCCAAATCCTGCTTCCAGAGAGAAACCACACTGGTACATGTCTCTTACCACAGAGATGCTGAGTCTACCATCCTGCATCAGACACAAGAAAACAGAGACAGGCCCCAGTGTCTGCACGTCCCATGCAAGAACCCTCTGGCATCATCCCTACCCCTACTCTCAGTCACTGGGGAAGGGAGACAGAGGCCACTTGGTTGGCAAAGAGGACAGGTTAGATGGACTGTCCTCAGGAAATTTCCCTCTCAACAAACCCCACTCCCAAATCAACAACTCAATGCATCAAATAAAACTGAGAAGGGTAAGGTTTGCAGCTGGCCGGGGGCCCACGTTGGAGGCACTGTCTATCTTCTCCTGGCTGATATATGTTCCCCAACAACTGTAACCCCTTCCCTTTCAGGGCCACTATGTGTGTCCATGGGATTGCACTTCTTACGTGAAAGCCAAGCATTCACTTGCCTCCTTATGCAAACATGGTAAATTATAGCTTAGGCTGGTCATTAGAGATCTAACTCATTTATGCTTTATAAACTTTGTTAAATATTTATGCTTTATGACATTTGTTGAATATAAATTTGTTAAAAAAACAAATCGAATGGATTTGGTCCTAGCCCGCACTGGTCAGATTAATCAAAATGGCTGATGGAGTGGTGTCTTGTTGGGAAAATTTGCCAGAATCTTCCATGTGAAGTGAATTTGTTGGGAGGCAGTTTTCCTTGGCATTTCCACAGGCCTCAAACTGCCTGTGCAAGGATGTTTGAATAACAAACAGCCTTGGAAGCCAGGGGTAAGTAACCTTCTAGGTCAGAGAGCTGATTTGTTTACTGACGTGTATAAAATAAAGAATGTCTCCCTCCTTAGAAAGTCTCCCCCTTCTCCCCAGAGGAGGTTTGCTTGAGTTTCAGCTAATAAGATAATGTCTCCCTCAGGGATAAGGCTTGAGCATGTTTGTTAGCAGCTCCCTTCTAAGACTGGTGTTCCTGAAGTGTGGTTTTCCTTAGCTTGAGCATAGCTTGTGTGTGCCCTATCACCCCCACATGGGTTTGCAGGGAAAAGAAGAATTAATGCACCTATCCCATTTCCCAGAAATTTCATTCCTAGGTATTCATGCAAGAGATCTGAAGGTGTGAGGCCCAAAAAGACTTCTACAAGAATATTCACTGTAGCTTTTTCATATGAGCAAAAACAGGAAGCACTTGCAGTGTTCACCAACAGAAGAACGTACACACAAAGTTTGGTATATTCATATAATGTGCAAAACTTTGCAATAAAAAGGAACAAAATGCTGATATATTTAACAATGTGGATAAATCTTAAAAATATTATGGCTAGTAAAAGAAACCTTACACCAAATGAGAGCATGCTCTAAAGGCTCACTTATTGAAAGTTTTAAAACAAACCAGATTAACTTACAATGAAAAAATAAGAAAAATGGTTCCCTCTGTTGGGTGAAAGGTAAGCATGTACCATAGGGCATAACAGTTCTTTCCAGGGGGAATGTCATGTTCTACATCTTGGTAAGGATTTGTATTATACAAGGGAAGGCATTTACCAGAACTTATCAAATGATACCCTTAATATTTGTGCATTTCAATATAAAGATTATCTCAAAAGGAAAAGAAAAAAAAACTGAAAGCAAATATTGAATTCTAGTTATTGATATGCATGCTGAAGTATTTAGGGGGACATGTACTGATGTCTGCAACTTTGAGATGTTTCATATTTATTTTTTTTATGTTTTATTTATTTCTGAGAGAGCGAGAGACAGCATGAGCAGGGGAGGGTCAGAGAGAGAGGGAAACATAGAATCTGAAACAGGCTCCAGGCTCTGAGCTGGCTGTCAACACGGAGCCCAACGCAGGGCTCAAACCCACGAACCGTGAGATCATGACCTGAGCTGAAGTCGGACACCCAACCAACTGAGCCACCCAGGCGCCCCAGAAATGTTTCATATTTAAAGATGAGCTAGTAGAGTGGATGAACAGACAAATGAATAGATGGACAAAAATGTGATAAAGTAAGAATGGGTATAAAGCTAATTATGAATTTATGTAAAACTATATTGGTGTTTGTTTTCCCAAATTTTCTGTACTTTCAAGCTTTCCATGATTCAGTCATGGTGACCAGGGCTTTTTGAAAGAAAAGTAAGATTATTTACCAAGAAATGACACAGTAAAAGAATTTTCATCAGCCACACAATAATTTGAGAAGACAGGGCAGTAACCACTTCGCTGTACTGAGAAGAAATAAATGTCAACCTAGAATTTTTAACCTTGCTAAAAAAAATTCTATCAAGGCAAATTTGCAAATATAACACTTGGAGAGTCTGCTACTTGGAGACTATTCACTAAAAGAACCAAAAGATTTAAACCAGCTGAACAAAAGTGAAAGAAAACAAACAAACAAAAAGAGTGAGTTCTTTCCCATCCTGTAAGATGGCAGATGGAAAATCTGCGAAGCCAGATACTAAGAAAAGCCAAGAAGGCTGATGCTGGTGGCAAGGATAAGAAAGGCAACCTCAAGGCTAAAATGCCACAGGGGAAGCCCCACTGCAGCTGAAACCCTGTCCTAGTCAGAGACATTGGCAGATATTCCCCATCGACTATGTTTTCTAGAAAGGCCACATACAATAGGAAGTATTCAGCAGCTATATTCAGAATTGAAAAGAAAAAGAAGGTTCTTGCTACTGTCACAAAACCAGTTGGTGATGACAAGAATTGGTAGTATTCTAGTGCTTAAACGCGGCAAAATGCCTAGGTATCATCCTACTGAAGACGTGTCTAGAAAGCTGTTGAGTCATGGCAAAAAGCCTTTCAGCAGCACGTGAGGAAACTACGAGCCAGCATCACTTCTGGGACGATTTTGACTATCCTCACTGGACTCTACTGAGGCAAGTGAGTAGCATTTGCTATTTGTGACCGGCCCTCTGGCCCTCAATAGAGTTCCTCCACATAGAACACACCAGAAATGTGTCATTACCATCTCCACCAAAATTTATTATCAGTAGTGTGAAAATCCCCAAACATCTCGAATCTTACTTCAAGAAGAAACAGCTGCATAAACCCAGACATCAGGAAAAGGAGATCTTGAACACAGAGAAGGAGAAATATGAGATTACAACGCAACACAAGGTTGATTAGAAAGGTATGGACTTGGAATTTCTGCCAAAAAATCCAAACTGTCCCGAAGCTTCAGGGCCATCCCCGCTCTGTGTTTTCTCTCACAAGTAGGAGTTTATCTTCACAATTTGGTGTTCTAAATTTCTTAAAAAGAAGCTAAGTAAATAACTGATCTATTAAAAAAGAGAGAAAGAAAAGAAACAAAGGTAAACCATAAAATGTTAAAATATTTTTAATTTAAGTAAAGATCAGCTGCACACATGATAATAGTTTCAACATTTGTAATTAAAGAAAGTTAAGAATAAAACATTACACAACAGTGGCTACATGGTGATGGAATGCTGAGTATGTAGTAAATCCACATGCTCAGGTCCTTGTCATTGTTTGGGATTGAGGCATGGTAAAGAGATCAGAGAAATTTCATCTCAAATTTCCAAAACAGTGGAGGAAAATGGG